TATATGGTTACATATATAGTTTATATAACTTTTTTTAATCTTTTCAGTGGCTCTTCCGTAAAAAAAGAAAAAGTTAAAATTTCCCTTCAAAATTGCGATTTTTGTTTTGTTTACTGAAAAGATTAGAAAACATATATATATATATATATATATTACTGAAAACATTAAAAAAGTTAATATATATATACATATATATTTAAATACATATATATATATATACATATATATGTACATATATATATACACATACACATATATATACATATGTATATATATGTGAGGGTGTGTGTGTATATTAGCTTTGCTAGTTCTGGGCTACAATCACTCTCTATATCAGTGTCTACAATCCTTATCGGTTGGCGATGATAAGGCATCAAACTATCATTTGCCAACTTCCATTAAAATTCAAGAAGGATAAGCAAAATAAAAGTTCTCCTTTCTATCTTTTTGTGTAATTTTATTTTGTAGTATTCTTTATTGAAAATTGTGCTTTTATTTTTTTAACACTAAACGGAGGCACGCTTGGTCAAATAGTCACGTGACCGCGTTCTAGCCTAGACAGTAAATACCAGAGGCTAGCTTAGACTGCTAACAGCTATTCCCTCCTCACCATGGACTTCCAGCCGTAGTCCGCGGGAGGCCAGCTTCCTCTGAGGGATGACACCACTTTCTCTGCCGCGGGAGGAGAAACTCAACCAAAAGAACACGGAAGCCCGGGCTGGTTGATCAAATCTCCGCTTAGCATCAGAACTTTTAGCCTCCAGAAGCTAGCGGCTAGCCGCCGCCTGGTGACTATGCAGGGGGAAACCGCTGCGGTAAACGAGAGCAAGCTGGATGGGTTCCCCGCAAACAGAACCCCGAGTTCGGGGAGAGCGGGCGGGAAAAGCTGGCAGTACAGGTGGGTGTTTTCATTTCCTGTTTACCTGTCCTCCTGACTCACCTGGAAAACGTTTGGAGGTTGTTAATTAGGGCGGACTTTACCCTGTGCGCTGACTGAAAGGAGCTGCTGCTGATCAATCTGTGTTTTTTTTACTCTGTTTATGGCTCATTTTCCAACATTTTCTCATTTCTCTTCCCAATCAAGCGATCACATGGAGAACATAGACGGGTACCTGATGAAATACACCAACTTGGTGACGGGCTGGCAGTACAGGTGAGCTCCAGAACCTCTCCACCACCCATCAGGCTAATGGGTCACTGATCTGTCTGTGTTTGTCCCTCCAGGTTCTTCGTCCTGAACAATGAAGCGGGTCTGCTGGAGTACTTTGTCAATGAACAGTCTCGTCCCCAGAAGCCCAGAGGGATGCTCCCCCTGGCCGGGGCTGTCATCTCCCCCAGCGATGAAGACTCGCATACCTTCACTGTCAACGCCATCAGCGGAGAGCAGTACAAGCTCAGAGGTGAGTGCGTCATCATCATCCATCTGGTGGTATTGATCTGGAGGCTCTTCCATTATCTGAAGCCTGGTGAATCGATACCAGGAAGTGGATCAACCTGGGCCGGCTCTAATTTTCTCTTCCTTTCTCTTCTTTGTAGCCAGCGACGCCAAAGAGAGGCAGCACTGGGTCAGCAGGCTGCAGATCTGCACGCAGCACCATACAGAGGCCATGGGGAAGGTGAGGGAGAGAAATCACTCCTTGTTGGTGTAACAGTGCACCTGTTTTTACCCCGTAGTGATCACCGGTATCGATCTGCTCAGGACAGACGGCTGTGATGGACTGTAAACACCCAACGGCTCGCCGGAGGGGTTCTATTTTTCCATATTAAACCCTTGTAGTAAATGTGCAGAAAGATGGAGCGTGCGTTCGTTCCACCGTGGCAGGTTTTTTTTACACTTTCTGTGCCGAACGAGGAACATTTAGGCTATGTTCACACTGCAACCTGAAGGGATCTTATCTGATCTTTTCAAGGCAGTCTGAACAACACAGATCCGATTTTTTTCCAATCCGACCCAGGCCACTTGGCTATGTGGTCCTAAATCTGATACGATCTGATCTTTTCAAATACGACCTGTGTCTGAACCGCCAGGTCGCATTCATCCGACATGAACGTCATTAATACCCGACAAAGGTCACTATTCTGCGTCTTGCTACGCAGAAGCGACAAGAAAAACAACAACCACGGCAGATGATGATGCGTAGAGCAGTATTTATGTTTAACCATCTGGGAAATACTGAGTTTTTATGGTTGGGAAAGATAGCTAGATTACAACCACACTGGAATAACTTTCACAACGGAAAAACGGGTGAAAAGAGAGAGAACCTGCAGACGCATTCAAAACAAGAGGAGCAGGAATGCATGCTTTTGACATAATGGGGCCTCATTTATCAAATCTGCATCTATAGAACATTCAAAATGCGCATTAAGAGGAGTTTACATGTGTGTTTATCTGCGTACCTGGACCCCTCACCCCAGCTTTCATACCCGACTCTCTATCTGCTGATGGGAGGGTGATGACAGAGTCTATAGGGCACAGAGTTCATGTTTTCACAGAGCCTCTCTCACATGTATGTGCAAATAAGGAGATAAAGTGTTTAAAACACTGTATCCATGCCCGTTAGACTCATTTCGGCCCAGTTTTATTGTTGTTTTTAAAGTTTCAGTGTTTGTGGTGAGATGTGGGGAGAGGAAGCCGTGATGGCAGCCAAAGGAAAGGAGTATAGAGGCTACAAATGTCAGCCTAGCGACCCGCTACTGTAGACTATGGTGTAAATGCTCAGTCCTAAACTGTGCTTTATTTTTTTTTTAAAAAAAGGCTTTGAGGGCTGATTTTCATCAGGAAATCTTTATAACCGTATTTTCACGACCATAAGGCGCACCGTACTAAAAGGCGCACTCTCAGTTATGTGTCCCATTTCTGTATTTAACACACA